ACGCGGTTGTAATGCGCATGTGCTGTGCGCCTCCAAATTACGGAGCTAGATATGTTGGTTTAGAGAACTATACAAACTGATCCACAAAGGGGGCAAATCAAGTGTGGGGGTGTTGCAGGGATTTAGTTTGTTGGTAAGGAGGGCCTCCCAAATATATATAATATTTCTGTTATTGCACTGTCTTATTATGGCCACCTCGTCCCACAACGGGGTATGTTGGTGTTGTAATACCATTTTAGCGAGCTCAGTTTCATTCTTGCCTTCCCTGATAGAATACTGATGTTCCGTAATACGACACGACAACATTCTTGTTGTCGCGCCAATATATTGAGTGCGACCACCCGACATGCTGTCTAATGGGATAGAATAAATCCCCGATCTTTCTAAAATGGAAGTAGGATCCCTGTCATTGGACAGCAACCTCCTAAGATTTGGCTGTGGGGAAATTGGCAAAAATAGGGCATGCTGCCTAAAAATACGGCAAATATGAAGAGTGACATGACCACAAAATGGTATTGCGGGAAGGGCTATTGTGGATTCTTTTGGGAGATGCAGTGTAGTAGGAGGAAAAAGCAATCTTTTTACTTTGTTTAAGATGTAGATAAATTTAGCACTATTGTAGCCTGCCTCATTTACCGCACAGTGAATGTTATTAAGTTCGGTATCGATAGCAGCTTGACTGGAAGATAAAAGAAAGGCCCTCCTAATTAAAGGTGTGATTGCCGCATTGATGTAACGTTGTGGCTGGTATGCTGTAGCGGGGATTATGGGAGGTACATTGTTGAACTTGTGGAATACGGAATACATTATGGTATCCTGGGATTTAACAATTTTTAGATCTAAGAATGCTATCTCATTTTCTTTGTCTTTTTCCCAGGTAAAATTAATTGTGGTATAAATGGTTGCGAGACAATCTTTGAAAGCTAAGAAGTCTTCGTGGGTGTCCTGCCAGGCTATTTAATTTAAATTAAATAGCCTGGCAAGAATTTAACTGTTAACGGCCTGAAGAAGACGAAAATAATTAGCGTCAAAAGCGCTTGTCGGTCTGACGACAGTCATTCGTAATTAACGCCTGTATGATAAAAAGTTTATTCTACAAAAGCTCGTTTTCTGCCATTTTCGCACTGTCACAATGACCTAACTTTCACTGACTTCTGATTGGTGGATGGTACCATTTTACGGCCATATTCATGTTGAAAGTTGAACACTGCTCAACTCACTTTTACACTGGTTTTATTACCTGTTTGGACATAAAATATCATAGTTATGTGATTAAAAGCTTTTAAAGCGAGGGGTTTTATGCCTGTTTTTATGCTAGTGGAGTCTCAGCCTAACTTTTTTCTAATCTTTTATTAACATTTTTTCTTACTTGTAATGTAACCAGAAACCTTTTCTCCTCCTCCTCCTCCTCCTCCTCCCACTTAAAATCCAAGTCATATTTTCTGTCACTGCTATATTGATAATCAAAGATAGGTTAGAAAGCCCAAAAGTACTAGGATTTAACTGAAATTTATTTTTCTTGTCTTGATCTCAAGAAAACAGGGAGCTTGAACATTCTTTTTTAATTCAAAATAATTTAAAGAAACTTAGCTGTTCTAATTTATTCATAAGAATGATTAGACCATTGATTACATATGGAATAAAAAAAAATCATAAATATGATAAATATTCCTATTACTTGCCAAAAAATGTGTGTGCAGTCTATGCTGTGACAAGTTTTGACTTTAAAAATTATTATTTAGGGCAAATTTATTTTACATAAAACTATACACAAACATGAAGTTGTCAGCATGTTCTGGACATGATGTATAGGGCTTTCTATATAATACAGTCTCATTAAGTTGAAATCACTGGTATGTATGTTTAGATTACACCCATTTTCCTATATACCCTACACCCTTTGATAGGATTTTGATCTTTATTTTCTCTTATATTTCATATGAATAGAGTCAATTAAAATAAACAAACAGCATGGCTCCATGCCAACCACAATGTTAAGCCATTACAACCATGCAACACCATCCTTTTATTAGACACAACAATTAACACCTAAATGCTAATTCCAGCACTGAATGAACAAAAAATTTTAATGCTCGAACGTTTTTGGCCGTCTTTTAGTGGCCCTCTTCAGGATGAAACACACAAAAAACAGTTCTATCATTTGAAAACTTCTAATCGTTGAATATGTTTATTAGTATGGAATGTTACTGTCATTTTGATTGGAACATAAAGAGGTACCTTAATAATGTTTTGAAGATTGGAAAACATGTGATAAAATGACAATGCAAATAACAATCAAATTGTTTTTATTGAACGAATGATGAAACAGATCAGACTGCCCATTACAGAGAACAATTATTTATATACTAGAAGATGAGCTCGGCATTGCTCGAGAAAAAAGTATTGATAGCGAAGATTAATATTATTAGATTATAGACAATCTTACCCATTTTATCGAGTGCAAGAATGTCTCCCCTCTTCTGAGACTAATTAGAAAATTTTTAGATATCTGCTTACCACACCGGGATAACGATAATTAAGATTCACTGCAACCACTGACCAGTGCATAATACCACTAAGTGATGAATAAACGTTTTTGTAACTCTTTCTGGGTTCTTCTTCAGGTTTACTAAATTCGAAAGCTGGATCTTCCAGAATCATTCATAAATATAAATTCAAACATAAAATCAAACATTAAGACGAAGAGTTTGAATAAAGCAAACTTATGCACATGCGCTCTTCATGTCAACTTTATATATGAAGTGCTCCTATACACGCGTGCCACCTATCGTAGTATAAATGTACTATGCCAGAAACCTTCGCCGGAGTGTATTGAACAACTTCCTAAAGTTTCATGTCAATCGGATAAATGGTGTAGTAATGCATGAACGACAGACAACAGACATACATTCATTCATTTTTATATATATAGATATACAATGTCCCCACTCTTGCTCGAACTTCCTGCAACAATTAATTTATGTATAATTTTGCTTAAAACTAAAATAATTACAATTCAACTTAAACCTAATACTATTACTACTTACAACTAGAAAGAGAAAAGGAAGGATGAAGGATGATTGGATAGACTACTGATAGCTTGGGTCGATGGGTTCTGATACTGGGGTATGTCGACAATGGTCGCTTCGTGGATGGTGAATGTCCAATCCGTAAGCATCCAGGAGAATAAAAAAAAAGACAGTTACTCTTAAATAGGTGCTGAGGCAGGTCCTTGACCTTATATGGAACAGCTAGCTTGCTTAGTTTTAATTTCTCATTCCTACATGGTCTATACTGACCCTCTTTCTCTTGTCCTAAGCCTTGTAGCTTGTCTCTCAGTCACTCTTGCCTGGTCTCCTCGGTGGTGAACCCAAAAAAGTGACTCTCGTGAACTCCTGATTTTCCCAGGTCTCCTTCAGGCAGGGACCCCCTTCCTCTCCTTTTGTAAATTGGCCAATCAGGACCCACAAACAGTACAGCTCCTGTCACGTGACAGGAAAGGAGGAGTTCTTATTCTATATACAATTATACAAAAGAAAAACATGGCAGACAGCCACAATGTGTCTCATAAGCTTGGCATGATTAGCCTTATGTATTTGATCAATTGCTGGTGAGTCAAGTAAGTTTATAGCCTTTCCTGCTTATTTGCTCATTACTGTAGTGTCAATGTCAGAAACTTGTTTAAATCCAAACAGCAAAAGAACTGTGGAACACATTAAAATCAGTAACAAAACTAACAAAACACATTAAAAACTAACAAAAAACAACTACTATTCACTGCAAACAAATTTTTTTCCATATACAACGGACTACCTCAGATTTGACTAAGAGAATATAAAATAGAACAGTAAATTCAAATTTGAACAGAATATTTTAAAGTTCAAGCATGTGTAGGTTAGTACATGTCTATTAAGGATTACTGCCAAAGTGAGTTAGGTGAGTTTGAATAACAATCTCCACGCTAACGAAATTGAGTCTGTTTCCCTACAGTTAATTGCCTGTCCAATTTCAAAAGTAATTGCTTTTGAAAGCCTTATAAATTTCAAATTTTTCAAAGTATTTTAGTTGATGTGGATTTATAGAATTATGTAGGAGGCATGTTTTCTCAAAGTTCACATGCACATCATTTTCCAAAGAATAAGTGGCAAGAGCCATGGTAGAGGTGTTTGTTTTAAGGATGTATTCATGTTCTGTAATCCTTACTTTGAGGCTCCTAGCTCTCATGTTATGTACTCCAATGAGTGGTGTAGTCTGTGGTCTTGAATAAGTATAGTATATTAACCCAGCAAGTGGTTCATTTTTGCTTGGTCCTTTTTATTCCTAATCATTGAGAAATTGTAGAAGTTCTTTTAAAGGCAATTTTTGAGTTAGTACATTTGGCTATCTCCTTGTAGATGGAATAAAGGGTCTTATGGTATGTTACCACTGCAAATGGCCTGTCATCAGGCTGCAATCTCACAGCTGGTATATTCTGGCATAGAACAAGCCTTTTAATTAGATTTGCTGGGTAGCCTATTTTTGAGAGGCACAGGAAAGCTGCTCACAGGTGCATTTTCTGGATATACAAATTACAATACACCAAGGACAATTGCTAACAAAAATGTTCCATAAGAATTCATAGTCCAATTTTCATCCCTGCATGATATGTTTGCTTATAAGGTGGGAGCATTTAGGACCCTAATTAAAATAGCCTTCATGCACTGTTTGACCTCGGGAAAGGGAGGAGAAGATGAACACAATGACAAATAATTATCAAAGAAAAGAAATCAGAAAAAAATCTGAATAACTGTAAATATATCTTCAAAAGTACTTTATTCAAACTAACATTGTTGTTTGAAAAATAGAATAATTCAAGAAAATAATGTTATTTTTACAAGAATTATATATATAATATGTATGGCTATATATAATGTATTTATTTATATATTATTACAATACCTACAACTTTTAAAATTTTATTTTATCTGATATATATTTGAAATATATTTCTTTTCTTTCAGATTCTTCATATGCACATTGCAACTGTTCAAAAATTATCTATAACTCCATCTGGCTGTCCTTTGCAGATACGATGCAAAAATTTTTTGTGTGTTACTTTCATTATACCTAGAGAAAGAGACTGTCATGATATATATACCTCACTCTTGCAATTGTCACAACCATGTATGTATTAATTTAACCCCTTCAGCTTTTATTTTTAAAAAATTAAAACAAAAGCTGCTGTTATTTTTCTCATGTTTTCCTTAATATTTTTAAGAATAAATATTTACACTCCCAGTGGTATTTTTATACTTTGTAATCATTCCAAAGCAAAAAATATTCAAAATCCATCAAACCTGTTTTAATTTCTCTCAAAGGTAAAAAATTTTTGAGATAGTATTTTTCAATATATTGGTTCATCTATTAGTTCAAAAGTATGTGCTTTTGTTTTCAAATAAACTGCTAAATTATCATCAGGAGATTATAACTGACTGAGTCTCACAGTTGGAGATTATGCTTTCCAGACCTCTGTCTAATTTTTACTTCCAGAGCTATTAATTAATTAATTTTCTTGTTTATAAATATGTGCTATTGCTGTTTTGTGCTATGATTTCTACAATCATTCTTTCCCATCACAAATTTTTTGACAACTTTAACTCTGGTTACAGACAGTTTCAAAAAAAAAAAATAAATAAATAACAATCTCTCTATATAGGATGTTCATTTTAACATTTAACCAAGTGCAAAAGAGATACTTCCAGCATTGCATGACTTTTCAGCTTTGAATTCAATATTTTAAACATACTGAAAACTACAAATCATTATGATTAGTTAATATGTTTTATTAATTAATGAATGTTCAAATTCTTTCATTTTTTATTTCACTCTCAAAAGAATGAAATAAAAAATGTTTTCCCCCCATGTTGTTAAAAAATGTTTCCCATGTTTTCCCCCCCCTCTTGCAGAGGGGGGAAACATGGTTTATTTGTCTTTAATAGTTGACAAACAATTTTAGAACAAACAGAAGCATGTTTAAAAGGTATAGCTTATCAGGTTAGGTTTTCATTTTTTTTGTACATATTATACACTAAATTTTTTTTTATTTGCTAACACAAGGTGTGTTACCATTTCAACACTTGGCGGTATTCCATCTTTATTTAGTTGATATGGTTACAAGTATGATAACATATTTCGGGGACTGCCTCTCCTCAGTCAATGTGAGAGTTGTTCTTGATAACTTTTCTGGGTGGCTTCCTTTTGGTGATCTTTTTTGGCCTCCTTTGGTGATCTTTGCTTTGATGAAATTCACCATTTCAATTCAAAACAGATTAAAATACATTAAATTGTTAATTTTATATCTATTTGTAACTGTTCATATAAAATTATGTAATTTATGTTATTTCTTAAAAAATCCAACTTTGTTGTCATTGAAATTTTTCAGTTATTTTGTGAATTATTATTAAAAGTTTCATTCTATATGTTCAAATATGTTTGTTCTATGCATTTTATTTTGGAATTTTTCTAGTTAAAAACCTGATGCAGACTTTGTGAGGTTAAAAACCTGATGACTGTGTAAAAGTTCTTGATTGTGTATTAAAAATTTTCATTTGTTATTAATATAAAATAATTTTAAAGGTCTTAGTAAATTAACTCAATGAATAATGTCCTATTTTAAAGTTAACACGACTGTAAAAAAAGCATATTCTTCAGTTGTCATAACAGAAAAAATTTAAGTGTTCTTCTTACAAGCAATAGTTTTAAGTATTCTTTGTATAATTTTACTGGATAAGAAAAGCTATATTGCTAAAATATTAATGCAAATTAGATTGTTTATAATAAAAAATTATTCCAAAATAAAAATATTCAAATAATTTTATTAAAAATAGTCAGTACTTGAAGTAATTGCTTTATCTACTGAACATTTTTATCAAAATAAATGATTTTCATTTACTCTGAAATGTATATAAATATTTTATTTATTTAAATAAGTATAATATAATATAGTTTAAAGCATATTTCATAGTTTTATTTTGTTGTTTAATATTGTGCAATAAGTTTTCCTCATATGGTTATCGCTCTTACATATGAATAAATATTACTAAATTTAGATTAGTGAGAATTACCATAAAAAAAAAAATTTAAAACTAAATAAGATAATGTGTAACAAACAGCTAAAAATTTTCAAATCAGTTTAAGCTTTTATAAACATTGCTACTATATTAAAAACACTCTAAAAGTCTTAAAAATTATATTGAAGACCAATATTATGCAATCTCCTAATTGGTAGAGCATTGTGGCAGTACCTTATAATCATGAACACTACTGTGAAATGATTATTCTTTTATGCCAAATGATTGCTGTAATGCATCAGGCTACTTTTTCTGCTACTACTAATAATTAAATTTCATAATCTAGAATGTTTTGGAAGAAAGGAATTGGCCCAGAGTGGGACTCGAATCTACAATTCCCACATACTGTGTTAATGTGTTGCCAGTTAAACTTTCCAGACACCCTAAGTGATTTCCACTTCTGAACATATTTAATCTTAGATATAACCATCCACAATTACTTCTGGTGTCAACTGGGAATGATTGTCTTATGTCCACAGCCTTATAATCAACTACTATGGCACTCAGCCGGCTATTGGTTTACTCTGGCTATTAAATTTAATTATTTTTGAGATGTTTATATAAGAGATGATACCTAATGCCTACCTTTAGTAACAGATCACTTGAAATTTAATTATTAATAGTAGTGGAAAAATAGCTTGATGCAATATGGCAATCATTTGGCAGTGATTAATAACATTGGGTTTTGAGAGGTTTAAAGAAAGTAGACAGCCCAATCAATTGACAATTGGACTTCCAATTTGGTAGTTGCACCGATATTTGCCTCACGTCATTAGACATCTCAATACAAATCATCAATGATGGTATTCAAATTAGATTTCAATGTGCATGTGGGTAAGATACTACCACTAGTTTTTGGTATAGTACAGTACATGTGACAATTCAATCTAAATCAAATTAATTAACAAAAACCACATTAGTTGACATTTGTGTAATATAAATGACATCCAATAATTTGTATTTAAAGGTGCTTAACTCAGATTAAATAACAAAGATTTATTAATATATTATATATTATAATATTAATGTTCATTATGATATTTATTAATACTGGGCAGCCAGTTAATTAAAAATAATAAATTAATAATTAAAACTCTGGTTTTTACATCAAAACTGAAAATAAAATCAAAATTAATTAATTAATTTAATTGTATAAAAAAAATTACATGTTTCATAGAGAAATAACATAAAGTTTTCCACTTTCACATCCTTGTTTTCCATAAATATACATAAAACATTTTCTATATCGCATCAGTTTTCCATATTGCATGTTTGGGTGTAATGTCTCTTATTGACTTTTTTAACATCAAGGTATTGGATGTAGTTTTCCATGCCAAGAAAACTACATGGACAAGGAATTTCATAATAGAGATATAGTGTTGGAGGATGAGATCCTCAGGTTCGAAAGCACTCTAACTTCTACTGGGGACGAACAAGGAACTTCACTGACTAAGATTGAATATAATGACATGATTAAGTCAAAGCAGAAAGGGAGTTTAATCATTGATGCAGCCAACCACGAAAAGAAAGTTCCAAGTTTCTTCAAACAACACATATTTGCAACATGGAATGTGAGAAGCATGTATGCTGGAAAACTAGACATAATCAAAAGTGAAATGACAAGAATAGGGATAGAAGTGTTAGGAGTCAGTGAGCTTAAATGGATAGGAATGGGACACTTTGATTCAAATGACTTTAGGATCTTCTATTCTGGACATGATAAATTAAGAAAAAATGGAGTGGCTCTAATTGTAAAAAAGAATTTAGTAAATTTTATTTTGGGTTATAAACCAGTTAGTGACAGAATCATAGTCTTGAGGATGCAGGGAAAACCAGTCAATCTGTCAATCATTCAAGTTTATGCTCCTACTACAGAAGCGACAGAAGAAGAAATTGAAGGGTTTTATGAAAAGCTTCAAGAAACAGTTAATAATTTACCAAAAAAAGATGCACTCTTTATTCTTGGTGACTGGAATGCAAAAGTAGGAAAAGAAGAGACTCCAGGACATGTTGGAAGATATGGTCTTGGGAAAAGAAATGATGCTGGGATACGACTAGTGGAATTCTGCATTTCAAATAACCTCTTTATTGCAAATACATATTTCCAATTACATAAACGAAGACTATATACATGGACATCACCAGATGGAAATTATAAAAATCAGATTGATTATATAATAGGTAGCAAGAGATGGAGGAATGCAATCAAATCAGCATGTACCAGACCGGGTGCTGACTGTGGGACTGATCATGAACTCCTTATATCAAAAATATCATTCCATTTGAAAGCTAAGAAAAAAGGAAGGGAAATAATGGGATGTTATGCTACAGATATCACCCCATCTTACATCTCAGAAATAAAAGAAGGT